TTGAAAATATCAATTTATTTGACGCTGTGTATTTGCAGGGCGGGTCTTAGGAAGCGTGAGTGACTATTGTGCTCATCACGCTCACTGCACTGTGATGATTGTGAAGAAGCCAAAACCCCAGCACTGATATGCTTTAGCTGCCTCTAAATACTAATCAGCAGAGTGTGTGTGTGTATCTATATTGATCATGGTTTGACAGGGGTAGTACTAAACTGTTCCCCAATATTCTTGGGAATTCAGAAGCATCATCTGGTAGGCTGCTTCTTTTTTTGCAATTTGACGCGGGTAGGCATTGTTTACCTATCATTGTTGGAAAACAATCCTCCGTGAAATCCCTTACAGCAAAGGAGCCGAATGCTTGTTATCAGATGATATTAGTAAGTTTTTCTCTCTCTTTTGTTTAAGAAAAGACCCTAGTGGAGAGGATCTTTTCAGTTTGGGTGTATTAATGTAGGATCTTTTTATTGCTATCTTTTTATCTGATCACAGTGTTCCCAGAAACATTCAAAGGTTATGGTTGTTCTGCAGAGATCTATCGGTTTAATATTGAATATGTTGCAAGTTTTTAGCAATATAACTATATATTAGTGTGTAAACGTTCACGAGGGCCAATAATGTTGGTTCATTGCGTGCGAAAAGAGGAATCTTATTTTGGCATTTTTGACGGCTCTAAGTTAGAACTAGCCTCTTTGAGTGGATGGCCAAACTCGTATTTGTCTGCCATTGCGCCTATTATTGACATACTCTGTCCACTTATGCTTAAACGATTCGCATGCTCTGTTATCTTAATTTGTGCCATTCTTTATCTTCAAGCCTGTCAAATGCCTTGTGAAGTTTCAATGCAACTTCTAATATGAAATATGTCCTTTCATTGAATGTTGACATATAGGCGGATAAAACGTTCGGTATTCAATTCATACGATCCGATTTGATTGAGTTGTGGTCTGTGGATGAGATTTTACCTTATTTGTGCGCATTTTTGCCCCAAAAAAAAAAAGGGTATTTGTGCACATTGCATAACCCACTGGGCTTAATTAGAGTGAAATTGGGTCAGAACGCCCGGAAATTCAAGTATGTATACTCAAGTCAAAATAAGCTGTCTGCTTTTTATGACAAGTTTTACAAGCCAGATCAAATGTTGAAGCAAAAAAAGTTTGTAGGCTTTGATTTTAATTAATTAAATCAGTGATCAAATTAAAGACGTAATAATTAAATAAAATAATATTAAATATATGTATAATATATTATATATAATTTTCTAATAAAATCATATCACATGACCATACATTAATCATATTATAAATTATAATTTCATAATTTATCAAATATAAGTAGATATTTGTTAAATTAGGTATGAATAAGTTCAAAGTATTTGTATGTATCTATCATCATCTTCAAAGAAAAATGATGTTAAATCATTAAATATGTCCATGTGAATGTGAAGGGTTTAAAAATAAAGTTGGCTTTTCATGAAGTCTAATTTTTTGAATTTTCCTTATTTTTTAAAATTTTTTTAGCGTTTTAAATTATGTTTAGACCTATTAAGTTTTCTAAAAACCATTTTAATTTCTAGCTCAACTTCAATTTTTGTCTCAATAGTAGTTTAACTATGGTTCAATTCAATTCAACCATAAAATGATTGTTGGGTCTACATCAAGCTATTAATAGCTCTCTTCAATGATCCAACATTCAATTCAATCCAAATCTTAAAATATTGCTTTATGGAATGGAAATAGATTATCTCCATACTTTTGATATGTTTGGAATCACGTTACAAAGGTAAACTAGATATGCAATGTTGGTTTGTGTTTGGAAATGTATTATGGTGAAATATTGCTAACTATGAATTAAAGAAAATATATTATTTATTTAGTCTAGTCATAAAATGAGTGAATCTTGCTTTCGAGATCATTTCACTAATAAACCAAATATTTCATCCATTAATAAACTCCTTTATCAACCATTCCAACCATAAATTAATGAAGAAAATTGTGTACGGAGAGAAAATATTGAAATGATCCATTTTCTTAGTTTAGAGGCCTCTTCGTGCTCAATCTGACTTTAAAATGTTGACCTGGCTCTATATCGTTAATCTTTTGTATTAGGGGTGTTTTGGTCAAATCAAGTCAAGTTCTTCTGTGTTCATATTAAAATTGCTAGATCTAGGGCTTTGATTAACAATCTTAGGGTCATCTTATTTAAAATTTAATTTACACACATGTATACACATATGAAAGTGTTGTTGGAACTTGGAAGAACATTAGATTAGCTTAACAATCTAATCAGTTAAGCTAATTGGATTAACTTATCAAAATAAGTCGAGAAGAGAATTATCTAAACATATCCCCCGGCCCATACTTACCCTGAAGTTCTATCAAATTCCCATGTTTGCTAGCCGAATTAATTACTTCTTCTTCTTCAAGTCTTAAACAAAAATGCCCCTAATATTAAGTTTTGTCCTTCATGAAAAAAAATTAGGGTTTTCGTCATTGTCGGTAGTGAATTGTTTGAATTTGATCTTTTTTATTTAAAAAATAAAAAAGTTGTAGGAAAACTATGTTAAAATGTTTTCAAGATGTGCTTTAAAAAAGTTCATGTTTTATACACTTAAGGATCTTTATGAAAGGTTATGTAGAGAGTTGTCATCACTAAATTCATGTTTTTCTGATTTTTAATGGTACTTTGAAACGTTATTAAAATAAAAGGGTATCACTTCAATGAAAGGAAATTTATTTTTTAAAAAAAACTATACATATTAAAGAAAAACTATTTATGAAAAGTTATTTTAAATAATTTTTTTATAATATTAATTATTAAATTAACCAACATATGGTTGTGACTTTTGAATAAAGAGCTTAATTCATTAAAAGGCATCACTTTAAGATATTATTTCATTGTTTATATGTAAATACTTCTATTATTACTCATTTCTCATATCACATCTATTTATTGAAGCACATTGCCTTTATTTTTGAGTGTATCAGAAATATATATCAAATTATTCTTTGAGAGGCTTGAGTCTTTTGGAATTGTGAACTATGCTGAGGGGTGACCCAAAAAATGGACACATTGTTAAAAAAACCATTTTTTGATCCTGATTACCTAATTGTGATGACTTAGTTCTGAATCAACTAGACGAGTGGGCTCACATGATATTTGGGATATATGTGTTATATATATATTATTATATATCTGAAGAAAATTTGTCATCAACATAATTTGCACCCAAATTTGGAATATAGGTGGGGTAAATTAAGCTTAAAATATAGTGTTGCTTATATCTTGAAGAAGTTTTGAACATAATTTTTTTGTCATCCCTACTTTTTACGCTCTGTAGAGAGCTCTTCCCTCTAACAAACTACACAACCAGTGAGTAGTAGATCCATTCTTTGTCCCTAAGCGTTGAGCTTCTATAACCTACAAGTAGAGAAAAAGGGATGGCTCTTCAAAGATACTTGTTCGTATTCTGTATTTTTTTGAGGCCAATCTTGAAAAATGAGGAATTTTTTTCATAAAAAAAAACTTTTAAACTTGACCCTTGTATACTTTTTAAAACGAGGCTAGGGCTCAGGAGTTCTTTTAAATCCTATATCTTGCTCTTCTTTTTTCAATTAGCATGTGGTTAAAATTGTTGAAAATTGTTTGTTTGAAATTGTTAATATTATTGTATTCAAAAAAGAAGTGTTAATATTACAAAATTCCAAGATTAAAATTGTTCGGTTAATTTAATTTTTTAATTAATATATGAAAATAGCATAATTTGTGAAATTATGTATAATATGATTAGAAATTTGTTAAACTTGTTAAATTTTATTTTGGGATCCGTGTTGTTCTCATTATACTTTGGAACTTATTATTGTCCTTTAAACATTTAATTCAAGTCATTTGGAGTTATATACGCATTAGCACCGTTATACTTTTTTTTTGAACCAATAGCATAATTAGACATTTAAAATTTTAAAATCTAAAAAAAAAATAGTTGGGCTTTTGGAGGCAGCCCTGAAACCATATCAATATGGGTCAGGTTTGGTAAAAACAATGAATTTAGAATAAACATGCTCATGGTCTTGAGCTCTTAAGGCTTGACTCAATTTTTATTGACTGCTCTACTTACAATAATCTGACAAAAGATAACAAATTTGAATGTAGAATGACAATTAGGTTTCAAAAAGATTCTATTAATGATAATTAAGTTTTCAATAAAATTTTTGAAAATAAATTACAAATATCAATTTAGACAATTATAAATTAAGAATTTTAATTATAGATAATTACAAAAATATCATTCTGCTCTTTTATTTATAACTGGTTTTCTCAAATTTATAATTGAAATATCATAATTTGTAACTAAAATTTTATAATTTATAAATAAAATTTTATAATTTACTATGAAATGGGGCAAATGCGATTTTTTCACGATTATGACAAGTTATATTTGCGATTTATACATAATTTTTTTTTAGTTACTCACATTTATTTTTTAATGGGAGTCAATTTTATTTAAAGTATTATCAAGCACTAAACGAGGCATCTCTACTGTAAAGGATTCAGTTCTTGATTTTTCAGTGGGAATTGAGAAAATTCAGAACTGAATGTCTATTTTTTGGGCCAAAAGTCCATGCCCCAAAAATCACTAGTTCACTGCACAATTCGTATTTTCATTCTGGGCTAAGCCCTCCTCTTGTATAAGACGACACTAGTACACAACGCCGCTGGAAATCCAATCAATTCCCATATCCACAATTCAGAATGCAGAGTTCCGACGACGAGCTCATCAAGCCGCAAGACCCGGTTTCTCTGTGTAGCATTTCTTTTTCCTTTTATTTTTGATAAACCCTCCTCGTAGCATTTTTGATATAGTGTCGTCATCCCATTTCTTCTTCTGTTTCCGAAGTGCCGTTCTTTCCATTGGTTTGAATTCATTTCTTGTCCATTAGAAGTGGGTTCCTTTCAAAGTTGGAAGCAAAGTGCAGAGCCATGGCTTTGGTGGGTAAAAGCAAGAGAAGCAGGGATTCCATTGATGAAGCTGATTTAGATTAAAAGGGGTTCCTATTTTGGAACAATTGTCCTTAGAGGAACGGCTGCTCCGGACTAGTTCAGATAATTGGTGTCTGATTAATGATGGCACAAATTCCCCTGCCATTGTAATGGGCTTGTCTGGGTATGTTTTTCATTTGTTTTACTGGTTCCTTACTCTCTGATTTCAAATATGGTGTTGTGCAGCTTCTATGTTCATTCACATATTTGTAACTTGAAATTTTAGTTTCTGTTCAATTAGCAAGTTGATGAACAAGTTAATTCTAGGTTGCATAGATACAGGTATGGGTGTTCCATACGATATAGCATGATATGGTGGTATGATGAATTTTTAAAATTTTAAGATACGGGTATGAGGATATTTATAATATAATTTCAACATTTTATAATGTAGGTATATGTATTTTGATTTCTAAACAAATATTTCTAAAGTAATATAAAAATATTTATAGCAATCAACTAAAATATTTAAGTGTTTTATTAAGTTTTTAAGTGATTTAATAAAAAATTGCTGGAAAAAAATCATATTATAAATGTTATAATAGGGGATACATAAGTATCCTATAAGTATCGTATCGGGTACGTATCGAATACGGATATGTTTACTTTTTTGAAGTATCTGTGCTTCATAGGTTAATTCCAAAGTGAATTCTAAACTTATGTGTTTCAGTATATATTTAAGGCATTTTTCTTCAATCAAATCATATTAGAACAAGTGAATTCTAAATTAAAAAAAAAAGTCTCAAGAACAATTGTCAGTAATATTACTGGTAATCAGGAATAATAATAATAATAATAATAAAAAAAAAAAGGCACATCCTAATTTGATTGAAAAAATGTATCCTTAAGTTTACAAGTTTAAGCTTAAGAACCCACTTTTGCCGTCTATGTTTTCTTGGTTGTGTGCCTTGTCAATGGTGGATGAGAAATTCGTACATAAATTCTTCCTTGCTTGCACATAGGCATGTTTGGAATACGAAGTTGAGTGAAATGAAATAAAAGATATGATAAAAAGTGATTTTAGAGATGAAAAATAACACTTGTGCCCCTATTTTTAAACTGTATAAAAAAGGAATTATATCGTTAATGATTGTTTCATGGCATACCAGATATTGCATAAAGATGATAGTGAGTGATTATTTTTCCAGCATTCATACAGAATGAGCTTTAAGTAGGTTTAAGGTTCCAACATGAACTCATCAAAATGGATGTAAGTTAACCACACCACCTGAAGCACTTGTGTACTTTACTTCACAATGGTTTGTGTTGGATGGTCCAGAATCATAGGTTGTGTATTGATGGTCTTCTTTCTTTCCCAATGACATAAATTACTTGCCAATAGTCACTTCTTGATCTGCTGCTGATATGCTAAGGAGAAGAAAAAGTTTGTTTTATTGTTTCTGCTTTTGGTAAAAATAAGCATGAAAATGAATGTCCTATCTGAAAGTGGATGTTCTACATAGGAAACTTTCAGAACTTGTCGAAGTCAGGTCTGTGTTGCGAGATCAGATTCCTGTCATCAGAAGATTTTCTGGGGGAGGCACTGTTATTGTTGACCAAGGGACCATATTTGTTACTCTCATATGTAATAAAGATGCCGTTCCAGATATTCAACCCTTTCCCCGTTCCATCATGTCGTGGAGTGGTCAGTTATACAGTGAAGTTTTCAAAGGGATTGGTGATTTCCAGCTCTGCGAGAATGGTACATAGGTTGCCCCTTAACCATTGTGCCTTGTCTAGTTTCATAGAACCCTTCCATCACCAAGTATACATTTATCTAAAGCATCCATATATTTGATTGTGTCAGGTCAATTGAGCTGTTGCATTCTGTTTCAAATCCTTGGCTTAGATCCAACAAACAAAAATATCCTTTTGGGGTTGATATTCGATAATTGGTTCTCAACAATAGATTATACATAGATACATCAGTGTAAAAGACTTGGGAAGTTTTGTTATCCTTTATATATTTTATTCTTGAAAATGGAAACATATTCTTTTTTGGTTTAGGGGCTTTATTTAATAAATTGATTTTAATAATTTTCTGTTGGTTGTTTGTTCATAAGACAAACTGTATTTGATAACCGTTCCACTCTTCACCCTTCATCTGTTGTGTCCTTTTGTATTGATTTTGGACTTTTAAAACAAGCACACGTCTTGCATTTGGAACGAGTTTACTCTCTGAAGTAACTCTTTTTTAATCTGCCGTCCGAACTTGCAATCTATAGGTTGAATGTGCAGCACACTAACCATCAAGCTTCAAGTTTTCATGGCCTCTCTGAAGTAACTCTATAGATTCTATAAAATGTTCTGTATCATTTTTAAGAATCTTATAATGAAGTTTTGATGGAATCAGATCTGTATCTTTTTCAAGATTCATGTAATGAAATTTTGATTCCGCTTTCCCTGTAGATTATGTGTTTGGTGATCGTAAGTTTGGTGGAAATGCTCAATCTATAATCAAGCACAGGTGGATCCACCACACATCTTTCTTATGGGATTACGAGGTTAAGAACATGGCCTACCTCAAGTTACCAGCAAAGGCTCCCAATTACCGACTTGTAAGAATACCCTTTTTTTTTTGTGTCTGCTGTTGATTTGCTTTTCAAAATTTTGCAATTAAAATATTTTTGGTTCTAGTTTGATGGAATCTGTTAGTGCTAATTCCTGTTGTCACCTATCTACAGTTTATTGGTTTGAATGATTATTACTTCTCTAAATATTGAACTAAGATATTGCGTATTGTGTTTCTGGGAGAAAAAGGAAGGGGATGCTATCCTGCATTATGCCAGCTAAAACATTAAAACACACACACAGACACGCACACTGAATTTTGCATGTTAAGCACGCATCTGTTTTTCTCTAGTGTGATTGTTCTCATGTGTTTAGTGGTTTTAAACATGACAAATAAAAATTTATAGTAATCAAGACCTATTGTTGAATAGCATATTGGAAGAGTTGGTTGCGAGTAGAGCACAATAATGCTATGCAGTCATATAGCTAATCTTATTTAATAGGATAAATCTTGATGTTGTTGTATGTAAAAAGAACATTTTATAGAGATTTCTTGTTCTCTCATGGTAAAACTTGTAGATTCTCATTGAACTGGAAAAAATGAAGTTGAAAGAGAACAGAATGCGCATGTGTGTGTGTGTGTGTGTGTGTGTCCTTAATGAATGGTATAATCCTCACAGTAGCCAGAAGCCGTTGATATTGAGTTCCAATGATCTCTGAACTGGGATACTCCCCCCGCCTCCCTCATTCCATTGCTTGATATCCTGGGAAACCTGTCACCGATATCTTAGGGATGTCTTTGGCATTTTTATTTAACACAGCTGCATATGTTAGACTCGAATCCAAGATTCCAAAATAAGTTGATTTGACTTTCTTGACTAGTCAAACAAAGTGTCCCTTCACCTATTAGGGATATTCTATTTTGCTTTTTTGGCATCCTTGTATTGGCTTTAGGATATAGGGTTTTTCCACCTGTATTATGGGCTTCTTTGGTTTGTCATTGTGTTCACACAGCTTTCTTCTTGCAGGCTAGGGGCCATATGGATTTTGTATGTCGAATGAATGAATTTCTGCCTCGATCGGAATTTGTACGAAAGACAATTAAGGCAATCAGATCTCGTTTCTCTCTGGAATCTGTAGCTGATAATATTGCGGAGATCGATGTTCCCTCTGCAACCCATTTTTCTCCCAGCACTAGGCTTGTTACTGAGCATGATATAAGGGAAGTGTGTCACCAGTCACAAAATATCATTCAGTGATGTGGTGAGGTGATTGCCAAAGCATGGTAAGTTAGAGAAAATTAATTGGGACATAGAATTGTCTATGTTTCTCTTGAAATTCTTTGGGAAACCTGCCTATAAAATATAGGTAGACTGAACTAATCATGAAAAAACTTACAAACATATCAGGTTTCACTCAAAAGTTTGTTTGGATTGCTTATTTGTGTTTTTAATAATTAGTTTGATCTTTATCAATGGGAGTTGGAGCTAGTGGAAAGGTCTAGCTTCTCAAAACGTGACGATCCAAGATTGAAATCTCTACTAAAAGAGATACTCACATTTAATATTAAATCCTCCTTTGAACAATTAATTGCATTTGATTTCCATATGTAGGTGAACTGGCAAACATATATGATTTAGTTGGTTCATAGTTTCCATTGTCGTAATTTGTTTTTCTGGAAAAAGTACCTAATTATGCGCACCCTGTGTAATTTATTCCTAATTGGAGAACAGTTGTGAGTGATAAAAAAATAATTAGTTTAGTCTTTCTAATTGTCAAAGGTGGTGTTTAACTCTATCTAAGATTTTTTTTTTTTTTTTTTGACTTTGGCTGCTGACATAGAAGGTAGATTGCAGCGACATGTCTCTCTTTCACATCCTTCAGTGCAGGATTCTTTGGTTCCATACTTGAATTCATGCCTTTGTTTCATCTTTAATGGGATAAATCTGTACCAAAACTTGTTTCGTCTTCAATGGGATAAATCTGTACCAAAACCTATTGTTTATTTATTGGGGCCAAAAAAAAAAAAAGAAAGAAAAGAAAAGGCCAAAGAACTGTTCTTAGGTTTTTTTTTTTTGGACGAAGTTCTTTGTTAATTTTTCCATCTCGTCTTTGGTTAAAAAGCAAGATGTCAACGCTCTGGACTCAGTATGCAACTAACTTGAAAACTACAGATAGTAACAAACTTGCCCCTTAGCTCACCATCAATTTAGCGTTGGCCCTCTGCTCAGTCTACCAGTTACTAGGAAGTAGTGATACACCCAAAGGGGTCTCGAATATTATCAATAAAATTAGGAACTTGGTTATAAAAGATTGGATTGTTATTTTTAATTATGATTTAAGAGAATTGAATAAATGTGTAAATTGACTTGTTTGTCATGTATCAAATGACAATCTAATCACTGATTTTGTAGAATCATCCTGAAGGGTGCAGGAGTTTTATATGCTGTGACACGGTGACAAAGCCAGGATATTGGTTTAAGAGGAACAGTGGTGGAGTTAGGATCCTTGACACAAGAAAAAATTATTTTGTCTCTTCTAGATACGCTATTGCTCTTTCTTTTTTGTTATTCTTTTTTTAATTCAATATTGCAAGTATAACAAGCTAGCAAAAAAGACATTCAACAAGTTTAATCTAAAGTCTTTAATCTTTATTGTTCATTACTTTTTTTTTTTTTACTAGTCTCTAATTAGCATTTGGGATGAGGATGACATGGCTCTAGTTTAGTCAAACTAGTTTTGTTTTTTTCCAAAAAATTAATACATAATATTAGTATTTAGATATAATGAAATTATAGATTAATATTCACTAAACTTTGAGTTAAAAAATAAATTTTAAATCAAGACTATAAAAAATAAGATTGAAATAGGTTTAAAATTTAAAATATTAAAATAAAGGAGGGCAAAGTATAAGAAAAAGAGAGTACAAATTATAAAATATTGAAACTCATATCTTATGCATGTAACTTTTTTCAAATTGAGGGGGTGCATATGCCCCTTCAACTATAAGTAGCTCCGCTCACGCTTTGACATGAACTAACTTTTTTTTTTTTTCCTTACACGGTTTTCATGGCCTTATATTAAATATATATATATATATATATATATATATATAGAAAATTGTCTTAACTCTTAATTTTATTTGAAAGGTGGCTGAAAAATATAAAGGGACAAAATCTCTTACCACAAACACAAGTATAAGGTGATAGAGGCTGCGCGTTGTTGGATAAAATTCATTTTGGATGAAATTGATGTATAACTGATTTAGTAAGTAAGATTTGTTAAAAAAACATGTGAATTTGTTGATATTCTGAAATTTGCTGGAATTTAAGTTGAATTAATTAGTTTCCATTAAATGTGTTTGGATTAAGAAATTTTCAACTGAGGTTAAAATAAATTGAGGTTAGTAAGCTATAGTTAGGATAAAAATTGATTGTAACATAATTTATGACTGGATGTTTTTTTTTTTTTTTTTTGAAGAAGTCAGTTGGATAATAAGAAATTTGTTTGGACGATTTTATTTAAAACCAAATTAAAATGCATGATGATTGGACATGAATTTTTTAGTATATATTTATGTGATTAATTTAATTTTTTTAGGAAAAAATTATTAAACTTAAGACTACAATTTTTTTTAAAAAAAGTAGTTTAAAATTATAAAATACATTAATAAATTAAAAATCTTATTTCTTAGAAAAGTAGAATGAAATGATAAAATTTAAAATATTCAATTATAAAAATATAAATTGATTTATAAATTACAAAATATTCAACTCTCATATAATTGGTATTATTTGTAAATTATAAAAACCTTGTAAATTAATAAATTATAAAATATTAAATTATAATTTATGAATATTGTGATTTTTTTAAAAAAATCAAATATATGACAGTGAAATTGATTCAAGTTATGACAGTGAAATTGATTCAAGTTTGACGTGAAAGTAAATTTTTTATTTACAATTATCAAATTAAATTTATTTAGCAGCTGCAGTGTATCTCCTGGCAAAAGAAGGAAAATTAAACACAGACCGAGGAACTCATCCCTTCCTCCTGTGACTGATCTATCACAATGTGGGGAGAACGTGTCATGATTTCATCCATATGCCGCAGCGCATTGTGCTGCGCGTTTCATCCAAAGCTCTTCTTTTCGGCTTCATGTGGAATTAGCCTTTACTCTTCAACGCTTTACTCATAAAGTTTTTACCCAAACAAAATTTTGGACAGGGTAAAATAATAAATTTAATTATAATTTTTTTTTCACGAGCATCTAATAGTTTAAACTATTAAGTGGTGCGAAATAAACTTTTAATTTTAAAAAATAAAATATTCAATAATTCGCTGTTAATTTCACTTAATGAATATTATGTGAATCTCACAAATGACACATGAGGATGTAAACTTAATCATGAATTATTTTTTTAAAAAATATTGGATAGTCTCTATTATAAAAAAAGGACTATCCAAATACTTTCCATTAATTTTGATCAAATATCATTTATTTTTATATTTATGAGACCTACAATGGATTAACTTTTTTTAATTTTCTTGCCTTCATTCTCACTTTCAACTTGAGAAAAAAAAGATTCAAAAAGTTTTTATACGAAAACATTTATGAGGATGATGTCAATAAAGTAAAGTTTGATTTTACTACGCATGAGAAAAAGCTTGATTTTAGTTTAATTTAGTTATGAATTATTTCTTTTATTTTGTTTGGCATTATCTTCATGTGAATGTCTTCATATAAGAATTTTTTAAATCTTTTCTTCTAGAGTTAAGATTAAAAACGAAAGCAAGAAGATTAAAAAAATTGACACGTTGTGGGTCTCAAAAATATAAAAATAAATAATATTTAGTTAAAATTAATGAAAAGGTGTTGGATAATCTATTTTTTATAGTAGAAGTTATTTAATATTCTTTAAAAAATAATTTATAATTAAATTTACAACATCACTTGTCACTTGTGAGCTTCAAATAACATTTATTAAGTAAAGTTAATAATGAATTATTAGATTCTTTAATTTTAAATCTCTAAATACAAGCTGCCAGATGCTCATGAATAATATAATTGACGGCTAAATTTATATCTTTTTTTTTTTAAATATTCCAAGGGACTTTTGGCACGCAGCTGAGGCTTGGACACCCAAACTAATTTATCCTCAACTGTTTTCTAATATTCCACAATACCCCTAGGTTTAAAAAAAAAAAAAAAAAGTACCCTCAGATTGCGGTTTGCAGAGTTCTGCTCTGGAAGCTAGTCCCGCTATGTGTCGTCCCAGTACCGTCTCGCGGTCGTCGTTAAGCATTCTCCGGTGAGTATCCCTCCGTCATCTCTATGGGACAGCATCCACTCTATTTTCGTTTCTGTTGCCAGGGTGTCGTCCCTCTGTTGCTGTTTTGTTCTTCTGGTTTTTGGTTTCGTCCCTGTCTATTGGACAACAATCCACTCCATTGCATGTGCGCTCCGGATTATGCCAAGTCATCTGAATACGTGGACTAAATCCTGATCAACCAAAATGATTTAATCCCTGCCATACCTATTAAATCTTCATTTCTGTCTTCGGCAAGTTCGTATTGCTTTTGGTGGCCCTTCGATGTTTCAGTGCTTCTTCTGCTTGCTTGGCTTCATTCGAAGATTCTGGTATTTTTGGCTGAGTCACTGACTCACTGTTGTAATGACTCAAAAATTAAGAAATAAAATAAAATTATTTATTACTAATTAATGAGATATTTTAAAGCTATATTTTTATAAATTAGAAAAAATATGATAAAAGACGTTGGTAGTCTAGTGATAAGTTGCTAGTAACTTTTTCTTCCACCTGTAGGGTACAAATCTTTGAAGTGCAGCAGAAGAAATTTCATTCTGCTTCAGTTTTTTTAATGAAATTACTGAAATGCCCCTGGGAAAAAAAAGAGAGAGAAGAAGCACTCACTATTCTCCATTCCCATTACCAAACGTTCTAGAACCAAGGAGAGCAAAAACTAAACCCATCGTCCTTCTCTCCCACCCCCAATTTTTCTCCTATGTGGTTCAACGATGTCAGTGTGGGTGGAGCGAGATTCTTCGTCCTTCTCCGTGCGAACAATTATGTAGGTGCGTTGAGATTTCGATCGTTCTTCCTCCCCCGTTTCTTCTCTGTTTGTGCGTTGCTGTGAGTTCTGCTGCTGGTTTTCTCTTCCATCGTATTTCTTGCTCCAAGTGCGTCGGTCTCTCTCCCCCTTCTTTCTCCATGTTCATTGATCTGCACTTTGATCTTCCTCTTCCTTCTAGACGCCGCTGATTGAGGTGAGGAGTTTTGGGCATTTCTCCTTGTTAATTTGCGCGTGTGCGTGTGGTGTAAGGATTGAAGTTTTAATCTTTTCCCCTTGTGCTGTTGTGTGCGTTGAATGGGGAGGGAAATGGATTCAAACTGAAAATTGTAGTCTTAAATGCAAGATGAGGATGGCTGATTTGGTTTTATTTGAGGAAAAAAAATTAATTCGTTGAAGGGATAGAATTTGGGAACCGATTAATTCAAAGATTGGTATGGGCAATTCATTCATTCATTTTGAAATTGGAATTGAAGAGGAAAAAAAATTTGGTATTAGATTAAGGCTTAATGCTTGCAAGATATTCGATAAAAGGCCTGTTAGGAAGAGTTTTGCTTGATTGTGTATTGTTTAAATTTTGTTAAATCTTATAAGAAATATAACTGACTTGGATGATATTTATCAGTGAAAGTAGTTAATTTCTTGACAGTTGTACATTTAAGAATATATGAACCATGGTACTGTTTTATGACTTAATTTTGGGACGCACTTAAGGTGTTTGATGAAATGAATAATGGAATAATTATGTATTAATAGAGCGATTAAGGATGGTGTGTACACACACACTCTTGATTAAATAATTACCTATGACTAAAGCATTATAGAGGAACTTTGGGATGTAAATGATGGTGTTTGGGAAAACTTTGAATTATCTAAATTCATTATGATTGTGTTAATGTTGGAAGGGATTTTATTGAAATTGTAGAAAGTTTATTGAAATCTTATTATGTCTTATAGGGTGTTGGGAAGATGTGAGGCTTGATAGAAATTGAAAGAAGTGAATTTTTGAATTTGGAAACACAATAGGTAAGTGAATAGTGTTCAATGACTTGTTAATTAAAATTCATTTTTTTTTACTAAAATATTGATTGAGCATATTTTCACACACACATGATGTTATGATTTTTATTCTATTATTGATATTTAAAGGTTAAAGATTTGATTTGATTTTATTTATTTTTCAATATCCTGGTTACAAATACCCCAGAATGAAAACTTGTGTCAAAAAAAAATTTCATGATCAATAATATTCTTTTTATGAATGTCAGTATTTTAAAAAAATGATGATATGGTGTTCCATCAATAAGTGGATTCCATGCACGTTTGAAAATCTGTTGGTGGGACTAGATATAGAATGCTACTTGCTAACAATAGTCCTGTTTGCCCTTGGTGTGCCATGGTACACCTAGCTAGTAGGGTATTTGTAAGAGGTGCTAGCCCTGTGCGCAGGCTAACGCATGTGGAACGGAGGGATGGATATTTGTAAGCATTGTACTCATGATTGTTTCATGAGCTTCTAGCTTGTGCTTGTTTTGTGGCTTCAAGCCACGCTTGTTGATTATTTATCCTCATGGACTGCGTGTCCACACTTGGTAATTGTTTTGGTTAAGTCCCACTAAACATTTGAGTTTTGAAACTTGTAGTTTGTTCAAAATGATATTAGTCAAATGATTTGTATTTCTTCACATATAGATTTCGTAAAGAGTTTCATATTTAATAATTGTCTAAAATATATGTTGTAGTATGAAAATGAGATTCTGATGTTATGTCATCATTATTTAGATGCATACATATATGATTCACATGTGTACATAGAATCATGTGATTTGAGGTATGAATTTCTATTTTGTTTTCAAATAGATATTCCTATTAAGTTCTTGATTTTTATATTAGTACATTTTCTTTTTATTTTTTTAATTTTAAATTGAGATGTTATTTACTGGAAAATATTTTGGCCTCAGATAATATTGGCACTTAGGATCTCCTATTGATCATTGAGAGAATTTATCGCTAAAGCAAAGTAGACGAATTTCTTTGGACAACTCTCAACTTGATTTAAATGTGAGTTTATGTATTATTTTTATAATATGCTTCATGTGCTCTAGAATAATTGTAGATAGAATCTTAAAATTGTAAATTATATTGTTTGTCTGTTATGAAAGAATAAAGCTCAGTATTATTGATTTGATTTTGTAAATGACTGCTGTGGAAATTTTGGAAGGACTTATTTATAAGGGAGTTTTTGTCGGAATTTTTATAGGTTGGTTGGGACTCTTTTGAAAGAAACTGTTGCAATGGTTTCTAATCCTATTTCAAATGCGTTAAGATATTAAATTAGAATTTTCCTTCATAAAGGCTTACGCTGCATATATCCTATGCCGATTACCTTTAATTTTTAGAGTGTGACACTGTTAGTTTTAGTTTCAGATGCTTTTGATTTCACTTCTTTAGGTGGCTATAGTGGGTTTTACTTGGAATGTAGTATTACGCAAAGTTTAAATTTATTTTTCTCGTATGATTTGGTGTAGAATTTATTCAGAATGTTGCAAAGGTGGAGCAAAGCAATCACTCATGTTTCTAAAATTGGATCACAAAGTAATTTGAAATTTGGCAAAGTCATTTGTGCCATTACGCGCCGAAGTTATGCGAAGGTTGCAGCAGCATCTTCACCAACTTCAACTGATTCTAAGGAGAAAGATTTTACAAATGAATCCAAGGTATGGATATAAAAAATCTGTTTCTATTTATTTGAAGGTTCTAACTATGGAATTGAGCAGACATGTTAGTAGTTGTATATAATTGAAATTTTATATATGGGGGCTTTCCTGTGTGTGTGATTTTTTTTTTTTTGGGTGAAAAGAAGTTATAAAATCTGCTCTTGTAGCTTATTCCAAACAATGGTTGCTATATGCAGCTCCCCCCCCCCCCCCAAAAAAAACCCCAATTTCCCTGCATTTTTCGGGTTGGTAAACTCAGTCTCTGCAGCCTGCATTCTTGAATGCAACTTCTTGCAGTTTCTTTTTTGTAACTATTGTTTTATCAGTTTTTATACGTTGTGCAGGCAATACTATATCTCCTTGATTTGATGTGGATCTTCATTTCCCTGCATGTTTTAGGTTAACTTAGACAAAATGTTTTGGTCAAAGCCCTGTTCACTGGCCTTGGCTGAAAATTCGCTACTGAGAGTTCAAGAACCAAAATTTGAGGGCATCAAGCGATTCTTTCTGAAAATGTTGCTGTTTTATAGCAAACAGAGCAAGTCAATTCGAGGAGCTAATGTGGTATACCAGAGAATCCTTTCACAGGTTGATAAACCTCCTATTTATGAAGGTAACACCTATGCTTTTTGACTATGATATTGATTGAATTATTTAAGAAATGAAAGAACTGATATTTTCTCTTGTCATTGTTAATCCCCACTGGAGTAAAAATTTCACTAGTAAGATTTGAGGGTCTGCAGATAAGATATTATATTGGTCTATTGGGCTCCTTAGTTGTAGTTTGGAGGCTAGTGTTGAGTGGTATAGTCATGTCTTCCTAAAATTGAGGGACTTGAGGAATTTTAGTGTTCCAACTTACTGAAACTGAAATAATTTTTCCTTGCATATGTTTCTGATCTGTGTGACTTGTTTGTACGCGCATGCATGTTTTGTCAACAGATCCACTCTTCTAAGTTGCCTTGAGACTTGGAGGTCATGTAATTTTCTACTCACTGGTTTCTCATAATACAGTTTGTGTTGTTCCTAATAAGAGGTGGCTTAGCTCATTTCAGATTAGTGGGGATGTGAAGGTTTGCCTCCATGTGGATTTCTTAGTCACAAGTTTGTGAGGTTCTTGTCATATGAAAGTAAAATTTACTAGGATGTGGTCTGCAGGCGTATATGGATTGATGTCAAAATCTTGAAGATAGATTTTGCCAACATATGCTGGGGCAAAATTGTTCACTTGGCCTCCCTTTGGTGCTTGGATCATGTTTAGTGGGCTATGTTCATGAAGTCGAACTTCCTAAACCTTCCACTTGTGAGGAGCTGCTTGGCTAAGGTTACTATACTCATTTGTGCAACATGGTTTCTCCTAATACTAACAATTATGGGGTGTTATACTCCTGATTTAGCCTCCTTATGAATCAATGAAGACTAATTAGGTTCGAATCCCTCAAAGAATAAGTAGGATAGTCCTTGTACAACAATGGGACAATGACTAACTCTTGATTCTAACAGTTGGCAGTCTGACTAGCTTTCAGTTTCAATAGTAAGCTAGCAATACCATGTGGATTACTCCTCTCCCTATAGGCGAACTCTTGCCTCATATGATCACGCCATACACAAATGTTCAACACGTAGCATGAAAATTCATACTTACCAATAGCATGCAACTTTTATTGACATCAATCTCACCATATTATGCTTATCAATATCATGGATTGGTTTATTCCTCTTACTTTGAGGGCTCTGAGTTTTTTTGCTTTTTGTGTGCGGTTGCATGTGTGTATCACTTCAAGGGCTTTAACTTCTCCTTACTTTATTGAGGAAGGATTAAAAGAAAACAATTTGAGATAACTTATTTTTGGAATTAGTGTTCAATAATTATGGGCTGGGAGGATTATAATTTGAATTAGTTCTTGTATAAAAAGAAATTCTTATATCTTATTTTAACTGTTTTCCCCATTGCCTACAGTGTTTAACTTGGAGAAAACATTTAAAACAACATTTTCTCTACTTGTACTTCACATGTGGCTATGTTTGCGCCGTTTGAAGCAAGATGGGAAGGAGGGAGTTGAATTTGGGCAGTACATTTATGAGATATACAATCATGACGTGGAGCTAAGAGTGTCTAAAGCTGGAGTAAGTTGTCCTTTTCATTTCTTTAATTTATTTATTCTCCTCCCACCCAGACATCATATTTGCTGCAATGTTTTCCTTTGAAACAACATACACACACACACATTTCATATTCCTTATTATTTTATGTAACAAAATCTATCTATGGAAAAATGTTTCCTTTTGGACTCAATAGTTGACATTTTTTACAGAAATATTGCATAGGTTTAATCTTTGGGAAGGACCTGCATTTTTGCTGCTTCTTTAGGTTATATGTCAATGTCTATTCAACAAGAAATTTATATTGTTGTGTAATAAAAATTATTTAAGACATTTTGTTAGGTTTCATAATTGTATCTGACTTTGGGTGTTCAATTTTTCAGGATGATGAGATTGTGAATTGATATATACATGCATTTTCCATTTCCAAGCTTGTATATTCGAATGCATAAATAAGATTGGGGGGTTAGGAGGAATTGGTATTTGATGCATGAGTATACAAGCAGACTTCATGGTTAATTGAACTGTATATTCATATATGATAACTTCCTTTTACATGGCAGGTTAACCTCTTGTTGACTAGGTGGATGAAGGATCTAGAAAAAATTTTCTATGGAAATATTGTTGCTTATGATACAGCCTTGCTACCAGAAGCTAAACCAAATGATTTCTCTGATGTAATATGGAGGTAAATTTTGATCCCAGCTGTATTGCCCACCTCTTTTTTTTTTTTTTTTCTTTTGGGATGTTTTTCACTGACAAGACAGTTCCACATAACACAATGTCTATTTTTATTTTCCAGGAATATATTTTCTGATGATTCATCATCATCACCAGATGCCGCTGCATTGCGGTCAGTTCAGGTATTTCTTTGTCATGTAAAATTTAACTCTATCTTTGTAATGCATAACATGATACTTTTCATGTCAGGACCTTTTAAACTGCTGCCATTTTTAGAAATATCACCTTTATATTGAAGTTTCGTCACCAGACTGGGGAATATGTAGCGACCAGTTTATAGAAAGTGAATAAGACACAATGAGGGAGGGGCTCATTTTATTTTATTCTTAAACACATCAATTGTTTAACACAGTCATCAGTAGCATATTTCATGAAGTTTGAAGATAGCAATCTCTTTTTACTCCGCCAAAGTCTAAAAGAGTGAGGTAAGTGACCGTGAGAAAAGAGTTCTTATTCTTATCCTTGCGACATCCTTCCCTGTGGACCGCCCATTCTAGTTGCCTAGTCTGGACTGTATCAAGACCTTAAAGTTCTTCTGGGCAAAATATAGCTGCAATGGAAAATTGGAGGGCTTTTACATAATTGACTAGTCCTTAATCCATAATGAACCAATGCAGGGACATATTTCATTACAACCATTTCTAGCATTCCATCTAAAATTCCTCACCTCTTGTCCATGGAAACAAATTGATGCTCCTGCCTTCGTGGATAAGGGCGAGCCTCTTTCTTGCTGTTTGTGTGTGTGTGAGAGAGAGAGAGAGAGAGAGAGAGAATGATAAGAAAACAAGCCTCTCTCTTGTTTTTTAGAGCTTTACGTCTTTCGCTTAGATGGCAAATCAACCACTTTCTCTAGCAATGTTTCACAAATTTCAATTTTCAGCATATTGAAGTTCATCGCCACATTTGGTACTAGTTTCCTTTGCATTCAATTTTTTAAACCTTTACTTGATTCCTTTATTTTCCTTTCTTTTTTAATTGCTGCTTATCAAACGTTGGCTCTAGGCAATGGCCAGGTATGCTCGTCGGGAAGTAAGTTGTCTCTCTCTGACAGGTAAATACTATCTGTTATTCCATATCCTTGTATTCAATAACTGTGTACTTTGGAAGTTTAATTTACCCATTTCTTTTATTTTCGATTTTAAAAAGTCAGGGAGAATGACAACTAAGGAATTTTTAAAAAAATTAATTTCAAATCAGGATCTCATCATAACTAAAGTTTCCAAATTCAATGTCCATCCTCCCATGTTTCAATTTCAACGCTGAAAATCTTTAAAAAGTCCTGATCCGGTATTAATCTTCTTAAGAGCTCCTTGGTTGTTATCCTCCTTTTAAATCATGCCTTTACTTGCCTTCTCCTTCAATCTCCTTGTTCCAAACAGAGAATCGTGCCCCACATGCCCTGTTCTTTCCTGGGTAACAAATATCATTTGGTGAGAAATAAGTGAAAGATTCTTATCTTGACATAATGGTCCCTGATGTTACTAGTGACTCCCCCAAATTCTTTTCCCAAAAGTTTTTTTTTGATCTCATCACATTGTGCTTCGTGAATGTCACTCTTGCTTCTCTTAAAATACAAAAAAGAAAATGTCTCGAACAAGATTACTTCTAATAAGAGGATATTTATGCAATATACAAAAAAAAAAAAAAAACCAAAAAATGTGGTTATGAAAACCCAGCATATTTCAGAAATCCGATGTTATTTTGATAGCTTTTTCTTGTTCTTTTTATGAAATATGAATTCCTTTTTTGTGTCTGCTTTGCTTATTTTCTGAGTCTTGGAATTTGGATGATGGTAGATAAAGAAGCAATATATTCAGGGAATTTTTTGTTTACCTCACTGAAGCGCGAGATCACAAGTGCAAAGCAGCACCAATAGTTCATCATTTCTTGAACAAAATCTTAGAAAGGTGACATTTTTCATTATTTGTTGCTCAGAAAGAAACTGAATAATTATTGTACAAGCAGGTATCGATCGCCTGCGGGATTATTTATATTTGATTAGTTTGGCGTCCTGAAACTCGATTCTCCATTTTTTTGGTCAGATAAGGGAGAAGTGATAGTATAAAATAACTGTGATGTTTTTTTGTAATTATTTCCATCTGAAATATGACAATTAACTCGAATGGGATTCATGTATTTGCACTCTATCTGAGATAGAAGATTGTTCGCATGATTATAATCAAAGTATAATTAATTTGGAGCTCCTTATAGCTTTTTTTATTGTAATATTTGATTGGTAGAAACATATTTTTAAAAAGGAAATGAGAAATATACTTATTTTATATTTTTGGACCCATTTCAGAATTTTTTTTAAGAAAATATATTTTCATGCATTAAATATAAAATTGTCAATTAGGGTTGACTTTGCTATTTTAGGACTCTAAAACGGGTTGGCTCGATTTTAAGTCTGATTATATATCAGCATTTCATTTTAGCCGGCTCGGCCTTGTCTTTCAAGTAGAGTTAGAAAATGAGCGAGCTTGATCCTTATGGGTCTGGTTCTTTTGGGTCCAATCCACAAGGGTTTGAGCCTTTAACCTTAGGTTCTCATTTGTCACTCATATTTTAAAGCTTGATCTTTATTTGAAAGATTCAGAGTTGGATCCGCAAACCCTGTTTTGAAAAAGTTTAATAAAAATAAAATAAAATTAAGCACTATAAATTAATTAAAATATTTTAAAATTAAAAAAATAAAATTTTTATAATCTTTTAGAAATTAAAGGGTATGTATTTAGAAGTTTAATAGTAAAATTTAAATTTTAATTAAAAAATAGTTTATTTTTATAAATATACAAACATAATAATTATAAAAAAATAAAAAATAATAAAATTTTTATTTTGTACACTAATATTTATTAAGTTATATTAAATTAATTTTAAAATAAATTAAAATTAATAATATATGTAAGATTAGGGTTTCAAGTGAATAGGTTCTTGATTTCAAACGTGTGTTCTAGCAAAGAAAAAAATAATAATAATATAATAAAGTTTGAAGGGCCGTTTGGGTTTAATTTTTTTTTTTTTACAAGGCTTATCAGGAGTAAGCCTTTAAACTTGATTATTTTAAAAAAAAATTATTTTCAAAATTTGAACTTTTATTTAAACAGGATTTTTAAGTCTGACCTTTATTTTTGACTCTACCTTCAAGGCCTTAGAACTATTTATTTTTTTATTTTATAATTTAAAAATATTAAAATATATACTTAAAATTCTAAAAAAAGTTAGCACACGTACTATTAAGTCTAGAAAAAAAATTTAAGTTAATACACAAAGCAATAAATTTAAATCATAAAAAATAGCAACATTACAAAATTTACTAACATTATTAGTTAAATCTTAACAATTTTTATTGTCATCAATATTAATATAATTTTATTTTTCTCCTTGTGGAGCCAATTTAGTAACAAAAATATTAAGCTTTTTATATATATATTTTTATCCTCATGAAATAAGACCAGGGTTTTTGAATTAGTGTAGTATTTAATTGTTTAATATTAACATTTAAAAAAATATAAAATGGCTTAAAAGAGCTTGCTTTTTTTTTTTTTAAATTTTAGCGCTTAAAAAGGCAACTCTTTTAAATTTGAATTGTTATTTTACACTTTAAAATAGCAGTTCCACCTTGAATTTTTTTTGAATTTAAAAGGGAGCCTGACGGGTTCAGTCTTAATTAACTTCTTTAAATATACACTAAGTTCTTAATCAGGTGCTAAGGCTTTAAAAAAAAAAAAATCTGGATCTTTTGAATTTGTGCCGTTTGATTTGTAGTGTCTCATTTTTTAAACTCTTAAATAGGGACCAATGGTGGTATGGATTCTGTTAAAAAGCACCGGTACGGTGAATTATAATTGTAAAATTATTTTTATAAATTACTCCACCTTATAATTATAAACAATTGTAAAAACATAATCGTAAAATTGTAACAACATAATTATATATGAGCAATTCAATTATACTAATTTTATAATAATTTTAAATAATGGTTAAATAAATAAATTTTTTTCTCTGATATAATTTTTAAACAATAGTAAATTCTCTTTCATTTTATTATTGACGATCCATTCCATTTTATTCTAACTCTCAAATATATACGAACAACATCTAGGAACAGAACAAAATACTTTTTCAACCGATACACATTGTTTGAGTGAAACATTTTATTCATCATAGGATTTCTTAAATCACTTTGCTACTTCTCTAGTTTTCTAGTTCAAACTATTTACACTAAAACTCTAAGGAAATTTCAACTCTTTGATGTGAGTCAATGGAACACATTAAATTTTTTTTTTTATGAAGAAATGCACTCCTAATTAAAACGAGATTACATCAACAATATATAACTTATTGAACCACTCTCGTCATCTATCACCTCTTGTAATAAAGATGGGAAATGATTAAAGATGTAAAAGCTCACATATAGTCTATGAGACATTTTAACAAGGTGATTAGCATAGGTATTATATCATCTACTAACATAATGCATGAGTACGCTTTAATCCTTGTGAAGCAAAAAACGAACATCCTCTGTTACATCACCAAAGAGGTGTAATGGTTGACATTCTTTAATAATTAAATTAATAGCCTCAATGCAATCGCAACATATATCAACTGCACATAGGCTAGCATTCGAGCAAAGTAGTAGTACATGAATGATAGCCATTAACTCCACTATCATTTGTAAGCTTACAGTTGTGTCTTTTGATTCAGTTTTTTTGATGGTCCTAGATAATTCCACCACATCCACTGCTACTGAACTCATTATAAATTTGACAATGAAGAACAAGAGATAACTTAAAAAAAAAAAAAAAAACCCCCACTTCTCTTTGTCTTTTCTATCTTGACATTGTATCCAACATGTGAATGGATTTATCTTTATCTATAAGAAGGTTATCACTTCTGCAATTTTTAAATACACAACAGTTAGATGGAATCAAACTCTAATTCATACAAACCACTAATTCAAACTCTTCATACATTTCAATCTCTCTTAGAAAATCGCATAGCAGTATAAGGATAGAATGACAAGTGGATCACCAAATTGCCTGCTAAAAAGCCAACCCATCTTATCAACAAAACTTGTTATAAATGAGTCTCTCTTTATATATGTGTGTGTAGTTATTGTCAAGTTAAAATAAATAATCAAACCAAACTAATCAACAAACACTTTAGAAATCAAATACATATAATATTATAATTATAATGATAATTACTACTAGTTTACTCCCAAGTGCACTTGACATGATTTGAGTGTCTAAAATCACAAGTTAACACAATGCTTCCATCCATTCTCTTCAACACAAAGCTTTCCACCAACACATAGAATCCAAAATTCCTCCACATTCCCTCAAACTTTTCCACTCTTCCAAATCTCACTTGTTTCCTCTCATTATTCTTTCCCTCCCAATCAGCTCTCTCTTCCTCCCATCTCATTCTCTCTATGATGGCCATGCTCGGCCCTAGCTTTCTCTCTCCTCTCTCCAGACTCCTAAACCACATCACACCCTCTTCTCCAACTTTTTCTTCCTCCCAAACAGCTTCTCCACCATCTCCCCGCCCTGCAACTTCAGTTTTCACCACAACATCCACAAGCACTTCATTACTATTCCCACTGTTTTCCTCAGAGAAAACTCTGTCCCACCTCCTTTCAAGTGTCATTTCATAGAACACTGACCTCTTCATTTGTTCCTTTAGACTCACTCCTTCTTCCTTCACGAATATGAAAGGCTGTACCATTTTCCAACGACCACTGGCTTGGAGTGATCCGGTGGCAATTGGGCTCTCAAGGTGGGGTTGATGCCGAGAACTTCACCCAATTGGTAATGGCGTGGTGTCTTGGTGGACAGATTCCAACCTTTTCTCCCCCTTGGAGCAAACCCATCTGAGACAATAGACTTGGCTTGAAATCCCCCCCTCTTTTTCACATATCTCAAATTGTTGATATTCATCCGACGGATTTAGAGGTCTTGATTTGACGTCGTTGATGCAAGTGCAACACAAACATGTTCCCACGTCGTCTTCCTTTGAAGACGTGCTTGCTTCGCTGCACAGGAGTGATAGACCAATAAGCCAGGTTCATGGAATAAAGGGAAAAACTGAGCACCATATGATTTGAGAAACAGGGGAAAAACTTTATCCAATAATATCAGATATTTGTGTAACATGAGAAAAAAAAGAAGTCAAGCATACCCTTGACGCTTCCCTTCCCTTCGAATGACCTAGTAGCGATTAGAAGACAAAGGCTGATTAAGAAGAGGAATGTAACATAACTGGATCGCGATCCATGTCGATGTCTTCTCCATCACTCCGTATATAAACAACACCTAAGTTTCTGTTCTGTGGAAATGGCAGGTGTCCGATGCCTTTCTTGCATAAACCAAAACATCCATAATTCTTAGCTTCTCCGTCTTGAAGGACTAGGTAGCTTGAATTTGGTCCCTCTGGTTGATGCAAAAGAGCTTCAGGATCCCTTTTGTATAAAGATCGAGGTCTTGTTACGTACATTTTCTCTCTGTCTCTCTCTGATCTCTCTCTCCTTCCCTTGTTTGTGGATGCTTGCGTTCTGTGATTGATTTAGATTGTTGGGGTTGTGTGCTTGATGGTATTATTAATGATTCTGTGTGTGATTTGTTACAAATCTGTCAGCTAGAGCCCGCAGGTTTCTTGTCCAAACGGTTCATAATTATAGAAGAACCTGCGTGGAAGTTTCACTTGTTTGTCTTTTGGCAAATAAAAGTCAACAGGATGAGATTGAATAATGAATGAAGAATCACCACGTTGTACTTGATTGGTTAAAGGTCAAAGATACGTGTAATGGAAGCATTATCGCAATGATTACATTTGAATACTCTTCCTAGCTATAATATAAATAATTATTAATTAACTTAAATTATTAAAAATATTCATATCTTTTCATCAATATATTTAAATAAAATATTTAAATTACCATCATCAATTACATTAGTTTCATTAAAACAAGTATAAATGTTAAAAAGACATAAAATTTATGTAATAATTACATTAGTTTTTTAAAAAATGACATATTCCCTCCTTTTAAAAATATAAAAATATAAAGCATTTTTTAAAAAGTTGAATGTTAAAAAATATAAGACATTTTTATTTTTTCAAGGTGTAATCATTATCTTTTTTCAAAAGTGCCCCTATTGATGGTGAATTTATATTTATTATAGGATAGTTAATAGGGATAAATATAAAAAAAATAAGATTAGTTTGAAAGTAGGTAAGAACTTTATTAGAGATAAAATTTGATTAAAAATGTCTTATATTTTTTAATGAAGGGAGCATATTGTAGTCTAAATGAAGTACTTGACAAATCAAATACTTTTTGTTTTAATAATATAAATATGATAAGAAGCTAGCTAATGAATTGGAGAAATTCTTGAAAGGATCAATTTAAGAATACTACTTTGTGCGTATTATAAGGAATTTTTTTAAAATATTATGTTACAAATAGAAGGTATTTTGGAACCTTTTAAGATTTAAAAGGCCCTTAATTAGAGGATGTAATTAATAATTTTTTTTAATTAAGACACCCTATTAAATAAATATAAATATGAAAAGAATTTGTAATTTTAAAGATAATTAATTAACTTTATTGGGAGGTATAATTTGATTAAAAATGTCTTACTTCCTCTGTTCCAAATTATAAGATATTTTTAGAAAAGATTCGGCGTCTCAAAATATAAGATACTTTAATAAAAATAAAGTTTTATTAATGATAGTTTTTAATATTACCCTTCCTATATATTTTATTTCTTCAATATTTCATTAATGATAGTTTTTTAATATTATCCCTTTCATATATTCTCTTTCTTCAATATTCTTTTATCAATGAAGTATTAAACGAAGGATATTTTTATCTTAAAAAAATAAAGTTGTAAAATATATTTAATGAGTTTTATTGATATGTAAAATTTTGTTTAAAAGTATTTTATAATTTATGATGGAAAAAGTATAATATTAAAAAGGATAAAGCATATGATGTGAATAATCATTAAACCTTTTGTTTTTTTTTGTTTTAAAAATATTCCAGCTACTTATTATAATCGCAAACAGTGTAGGTCGTGTGTTAAATTTTGTGCAAAACATGAGTTCTCATTTTAGTTTTATTTTAATTTAATGTTAACCAGCATTTTGAGAATCAGTTTGGTGGATTAACCAATAGGAAATATTTAATATTTTAAATCATAAATCATTAAATAAACAACTAACCTACCAGCAACATCTCATAATAAAACGAAGTACCTTTTGAACTTACACACATCAAATTGACTGAGACATTGTATTTATCATTGGATTTATTAAATCTGTTTGCCACTTCTCCATCAAACTCCAAGGAAATTTCAAATCTTTGATATCAATGAATGGAACTCATTATAAATTTGATGATTTAAAAAAAAACAGAGATAACTTTGAAAAGAAAAAACTGCTTCTCTGTGACTTTCTTTCTCGACGCATTTTATATATCCACACGTGATTGACACACACACACCAATAAAAATTGGTCCAATTAATAGAGCCGGTAATTCAGATGGATCGAGCTTATTTGGATTGGGTTCAATTCGGGTCGGGCTTATTTGGATCGAGCTTAGAGAATCTTACTCTTTCTAAAAAGCCCATATAGTCAAGCCCGGCCCTAACACCTTCGGGTTTCGGGCTTATTCGGGCCGGCCTGAATACCCAAAACTTTTTTAAAAATATTTTTTTATTTTTTAATCAATTTTAATTTTTAAATAATTTTATTAAGCAGGAAATATTTTTTAACTTAAAAGGAATAAAAAATAATAGCTTATTAACTTTGTAGTTAAATACTTAAGTAGCTTTATTACTATTTATTGTATTATGTGCAATTTATTCATAAATGTTTCCTTTACTTATAAATTGATGTCTTATTTATTTAAATATTTCTCTTATCATGGTTATATAAAAATATTTATATATTTTAATTGAATTATATTATTTTAATTATGATTAAGTTAATCTCAATTCAATTATGGTTAGACTACTAATTTAAAATTATTGTCCTAATTAGTTCAAAAATTTTAACAACTATTAGATAAATTATACTTTTTATTTTTAAGAATATGAGAAAATAGCCATAATTATATTATACAAAACAAAATTATTTAATTATGGATAAAGTACTATTTTTAAAATTTTTTCTTTAACCTTTTTATATTGTTTAAGTCCTATATACAAAGAATATTTACTTCAGTTCATTATTAATTTTTAACTAAGTCTGATGTGATTGATAATCAAATAATTATCTAAAAATATTAGTTTATTTATTATGTTTGTTTAGTAGTAGAGCTGGAATTTGTACATGCCCAAATTTTATTTTTAAAATTATTTTTAATTTAAAAATAATTATTTTATTTTATAAAAATATAAAATATAATTTTTTGGATAATTGTATATGACTCAATTTTTCAAAAAAAAAAAGATTGAGTCTTAAAGTATAAAAATTAATATTAAAATATATTTTAATTATTATTTTGAGATATTTCATTTGATTAAAATTATAAAAATTGAAAAATATAATAATTTTTTTTTTAAAATAACTATAATAATACACTCAAATATATGGTATTTTAAAATAAAATGATATAAAACTTAAAACTAATTAATATTTATTATATTATATATTTTTTTAAAAAATATTTTTTTCTATTCGGGTATTCGGGCCAAGCCCTGAACTCATCATGCTTGGCCTGAATTTCTTAGGCCTATTCGGGCCGCCCGAATAGGTCTGAAAAATAAAAAATTATTATTTTATTCGGGCTCGAGCCTAAATTTTTCGGGTCGGTTCGGGTTGACCCCGTTAGGCTTGACCTAAATTACCAGCTCTACCAATTAGTTTAGACACAGTGCGTAAGCCACAAGTTAGGTCATGATGAGTTTAAATTTCATTATTGATTTGAAAATTGTTAGAAGATTATTTGTAAATATCTCTCTAAGTACTAATAATTTAACTCCTAAGATATACCTTGATGCTAGCGAGTTCCTAAATATAGCTTTATTTATCCATGAGAAGGTTATCTCTCCTGCGATTTATTAATACAAGATGGAATCAAACTATATTTCATACAAACCACTCTTCATATATTCATAGCCTCTCTGAGCAAACCAATTTGGAGCATAAGAATATATATATATATATATATATATATATAGAGAGAGAGAGAGAGAGAGAGAGAGAGAGAGAGAGAGAGAATCACAGATAGTGGATTATAATACCATCTATCTCATCAGCATAACTGGTCAATATAAACAAGTCTAAATGGTCGTTGTCTTGTTCACTTGTTGCGTCAAGCTACAATAAATAATAAAACCAAACTAGTCAACAAATGCATCATTAATATGTTTTTACTGCAATGGCGTCTCCATCTAGTATAAATTATATGGGGAGCGGTAAAAGTGTAACAACCTAATTTAACTAACCAGAAAAAAGAAAAAAAAACCTAATCAAACGTCATGGTAGTAAAAAAATATTTACACTAATAAAAATAATTATTATTGTATAAAATTTTAAAGCCAATTCTCAAATTTATTTTTAAAAAGATTATCATAAAGGAAAAGAGTTAATTTATATTTTAGGAAACTATTATATTTCTAAAAATTCATCTAGTAAATAGATATTTAAAAAGCTAGCCTTACTAGAAATGATAAAGCTATTTAAAAAAGCTATCAAAGTTACAAAAGTTGCCCTTACTATTTAAAGCCATAACTCATACTCTACCATGATAGAAAATAGTCTACTGTGGTAGATAAAAAAATTTAAAAATAAATATTTCATTCGATAAAAGTTTAGGCTTACTAAAGCTGGCAAATGTCAGATCCTATCATAAATATTTAAATATTTATTTAATAAATGTCTTGACCCAACAAGAGGTGTCACTATGCCATATTTCTCGTTCAGTAACTTGGACAGGTAAGTATTGAGGAACGAGGCTTTAAAAGAGGCCAACTACTGTGCGCATAGTGGAGGCAAACCACATGGTCATTAATTCATTTATACATCAACTCTTCATCAACCATTCCCCAATGCATACTTCACATATACAACATTTATATCACATACAAACATGCTTGAAAAGAAATAAAAATATCTCATTTAACTAACTCAATTTACAAGCATACTTGAAAAAAATAAACTATTCTTCAATAATATACAATTTTCATAAAATAAATATTATTAATCTGCATTGACAAGCATGCTTGAAAAGAAATACTAGCAATAATATTTATCCAAGCTACAAGCATGCTTGACAGCATTCAACATAAATCCACAATTAAATTTATAATTATTCACATTCATCATTGTTGTGCCTGAATTGTGACTTTCCCAATGACAAAAGGTCGATAAATGTGTGAAAATAGGCATTGACACCAAACTTTTTAGAAAGCTTGGAAAACTGTATAATAGAAGAGGATGGTTTGCGAAAAAGGTTTGAAAATTGATTGTGTGTGAGGAAGGTGTTAAGTATCTCAAGACACCTGTTCATAAGAATGGTTACCCTAAGTTGATTGCGCAAAATTAATTGGCCTTTAAATACTATCTTGATTACCTTTTAATCACATGCAAAAATGAAG